AACAATCAAATTTCAAAAACCAACTTGAATTTTCAATTACTTTTCGACTAACCCTCGTATATAGTAGAAGTCCTTTATTATTTATAGTACTTTCTTAGAATCTTATGTATACAAGTTTCCTAATTTATCTTTACGAAAAAAAAACTTGATTTCATTAGATCTGGCTCAATTTATGAAATATGTACGACTTTTTACGATATTACATCGTTGGTTAAGACATTTTCTATTTTTTTTTTTTCAGAAAATGGTACATTACATCAAGCAAATAGTGCTGTTTTGGGGCCTCTTCCTATCAATGTTTATTATGAGTATAGGAATCGAAGTGAACTCTGGAGGTAAGAAAGATTGTATAGTGAAAAATAGGGCTGTAACCAGTACAAACACAAAGAAATTGGATCAATAGATAGGATTGTTTGAATTTGATGAATGACTGTCTTTGCAGTCAAATAATTGGACTGATTTTGGTTTTGTATCTGGCTTTATGATTTAAAAGGCGGGGATGGTTATGAGCAGAGCGGAATGGCTGGAAGAGCTTGAAACTTTTACCGAGAAACGGTATCTGTTTGCTGGTCGATTATTATTGAACATGGCAGTACAATCCTCTTCTCCAAAAGTAATTTGCAGAAGAAACGGTAGCTGAGAGGTATGCACGTTCGACTTCTCTGCCGTATTTTTACTATCTTCTTTTTTGACGGATTTATTTCGAACTATGAAGCTGCGGTGTGGAAAACAATACTCAATTCATATTTTCTTAAAAAAAAAAAAATAAAATTAAAAAACTAGGTGTGTTCGCTCCTCCCTCTTCTAGGAGAATCTCTCTCACCCGTCTCCCCTATTCTTCCCTCTAAATCGCGTGGTCAGATATGAAACCCATACCCTACTTTTCAGCTATTTCTGGTGTTTACTTTGTTTTTATGTTTATTAAAAAAGAAAAAGACTCCTAATGTATATTTGAGGTAATCTGTTGACAATTTTTTATAATCATGTGATTATTGGAATAAATTAATTAGGAGTCCGTATCATAAGTATTTTTGTGTTCTTTTAAATTTTAAGTTTGGCTTCTTTTTTACTCTACTAAAAGCCTGTAAGTATTATGATATTATTTTAATGTTTTGGTGTTAAGTCAATTTTGGAAAGACATAATTATTTTAGGGGATATACTGTGAACTTTTGAAACCTTTGCAATAAAATGCAGAGCGTGAATAATTAATAATTTCAGAGATATCGCCGTTTTTCGTTAAAAAGCATATTTTTTTAAAATTTTCTACTTCATTCTGTAATTGATTTAAAAAATATGAATAAGTAATATTTTTGGATTTTTATATGCCCTAAAACTGATTTTGAATGTTACAATTTTTGAGCAATTATCGGTATGCAATCGAATTTACTTTGATGCGTATATGGTTGCATATGAGATGTTTTTCTTCTAATTTTGATTTGTTGTTTGCTGTTTTTTCTTGCAGTAGTGTAACTCAATCAACGTGGCTCTTTTTCCATCGAAAATGAACATTTCCTGTACGACGTTATTTTACTTTCGGCAAAATAGTAATAAAATACACAGATTCTGAATTTCATTGTCTACAGTCTAAGATGTTGGTGATTTTGTTTTTACTTTTTGCGAAGTCTCTCCTCTCCGCCATATTCTATATTTTTGTTTTGTTCGCAGAAATTTAACATTTTTGTTATAATGTGTAATTTCAGGTCCCTAAATTGCAGAATAAACAATTTGACAATAATAAGTAGGATTTATTTAACTAAGAAATCTGATTTGATTACATTTAAATTCAACCACAGAAATAAAACGTTCATACTCATTTGCTAAAAATTATTAAATTTTAACCACAGTAAAAAACGTTATTTTGTGTATTTATTAATCAAGTCGCATGGTCGAAATAGGCAGGGCAGGACAGGCTGCAGATGAAATTGTCAGCAGTTGTTGGCCATGTGTCGATCAGAGTAGTTATGAGTAGGGGTGCACATAAAAAAATTTTCTTTCAGGATGAAAAATATTTTAATTAGTAGCTGTTTATTATGAAAGCGATGTTCAATATTTAAATTTCAGAGAATAGCAACAGTCAGGACAGTGATGATAATGATAAAACATTATAAAATAGCAATTATTAATGTTATTAATTTTGTTGCATTTGTTAATCAACANTATATTTTGACTTTTAATTTGAGAGTCGGAAGAAGAGGGATAAGGATGAAATACATATTTAAATTTTCCGCGTAATTTATGGCTATTTTGCTTATTATAATTATAAAAGTAACAATTCTACAATTTTATTTGTTTTTTTGTGTTTTTATTCTATTTCATTATTATTTACCTAGTTCACAGATTAGTTATTAATTCGTTATTACTCTGTTTTTACAGATTGAAGATAAACAAGTGAAGTGATTGAAGTTCATTTTGATGCCACTGAAAAGCAAGTTGTTTCCCTCCTATGGTGTTTTATCTGTTAACTTTTCATCTTGAAGGCTCTTGTAGTTAATTAAGGTGAGCATACATGCCATATTATGTGCTCGTATCTATAGATTATTCAAATTAGTTATTTGCAGTTAATTTTGGTGTTAGTGAAACATTTGATGATTTTGATGTCTTCGCCGTGTAATTAATTTTGACCATGGAAATGGGATGTAACTAGAAATTAATTATCAAGTCACTGAAACAACGAATAGTCTGCAGTGGTATCCCTCCTGGATTTGGTTTACTCATCACATTTGTAGACTCCAGAATGCTACTTTTTGCAGTTAATTAAGGTGAGATTACATTGACAACTATATCCTTGAAAGCAGTGTATGCATATATTAACTTCAATATAAGAATAAAAAATTAAGAGAAGAGGAGTATTAAATCTTTTAATTCACTATATTAGAGATACTTATTTTGCTTATCAATGAAGGGTATGTTACTGATAAGCATATCTTTTTGCCTGACTCTAACTTTACCAGTACATCGCCGTTTTATAATATTACTGTTTTACTTGCTTTAATAGTGGTAGTTAAATAGTGTTTGAGAGACAATTAGAAGATAATTTTGACTCTAGCGAAGTGTGCATTGATACCTTTCTGAATTTGGTTTACTGTTTGCATGTATAAACTATGGAAAATTACACTGCAACTAATCAAGGTGAGAACATATAGTAGAATTAATATTAACTGCATGTTATTAATTTGTTGTCAATTTTCGCAACAAAAGACTTCCTGGAACATTGTGCATGTAGTGGCAAACATATATTCTTTTTATAATAAATGTTGAACTACCCGCTATTTCCGCAAAGTTGCAGAGACCAGTCTTAATTTTTTTCTGAAAAGTCCCATTTAGCGGTTATAGCGCCACTACATTATGGATTCTGTCTCTCATTACAATTCATAGAAAAGTTTAATTTGAACATAAAATAATAAATGTTGTCTTGGTGATATGATTTTCCATCTACGCTCTATAGTTTTTCCTTCACAGTAATCTGTATATCGACAGCATGTGCATCTTGTCATCTTGCCATTTTGTATTAAAAGCGACCCGACGTCGCCATTTTTAAAATTTTGCAGTCTTGATTATCGGTGCGTATTATCATTGTATTTCATATTTTTATTGATAAATAGTGTAGTTTATTCATTTTTATTCTCTGTTTTTACAGATTGACGATAACATCAAGAGTGGAAGGGTGTTCATTTTGATGTTACTGAAAAAGAACTTTATCTGCCGTGTCGTTCTACCTGTTAACATTTCTTAGAAAATATTGCAGTTAGGGTGAGCATATATGTGATATTATTTATATAGTATATTTATCTGATATTGACACAGAAAAAAGTAGCATTACTTCAATTTTTGAACCATGTATAATGCGTATTATTTGCTGGGAAGGTTTAACTAATTATATATATCCGAATACTTCCTCATAAATTTTATTTTACAAGAACATTAGAAAAACATCGGATGCTACTAGAAAAATAGCACTGGTAATATTAGCCCTCATTTGTTCCAGACAGTGGATGTGCGTTTGGTCCTAAAGAAAGCATGAAAGTGCCTTTTGTCCGTTGGAAATGGAGGCAGTGTGCTCTTGCTAAGGGAATGATATATATGAAAATGAACCGGTATGTAACAATATCAATTAAAAATAGTAAGTGAAGTCCCAGAAAGTTCAATTTCTTAGACATTTGTAACATGCTTCAACAGGCAACTTTTAAACAACATTTCAGAAATGGCAGATGTAGAATAGCAGAATTACTGTGGAAGTGATCTTTTCATTAGTGTGCATGTTACCGATTTACTTGCTTTAAAAGTGGTAATTAATTACTCTTTCTTACCTGTTTCTATAGATTGTCCAAATTAGAACGAATTGGCGTTAATTTTGGTGCTACTGAAACATTCGATGTTCTTGATGTCTTCGCCTTGTAACATTGTGCAGTTAATTTATTCCTGGAAATAGGAGGCAGTAACAAATTAATTTGAGAGCCATTAAACAACAAATTCTCTGCAGTTCCTAGATTTGGTTTGCTCATTATGTTGGTAGACTTTGGACGCTACTTTCTACAGCTGATTAAGGTGAGAATACTTGACAATTATCAGAGAAGAGAGACTAGTATAGAAGTCCAATGCTGGGTTAATAATCCGGACTTCGTTTCGGATAACATGTCGGTAAATCTCGAAGCTTCTGTCATCCGACCGGTAGTTGTCGCTTCGGAAAATCAACCGTTTTTTTTTTTTTTCTTTACAAACTTGGCTTACAACAGCAAAGGAAAAAGACTTATGCGTTCTGTGATCCCACCACTTCTACTATTTACCCCTGCCATTACTGCGTTCACAATTTGCTCCGACTCAATACAGCGTTGAGGCGCTCATTTTCATAGCAACGCCATCTCCTGGTTCTATTTAGAATTTCTTACTCACGTTTTAGTCCTCCATTTGAATTGGACTTCTATACTAGTCTCTCTTCTCTG